ACTAAAATTTCCTCCTCTTTAGTCGCAAATTTTCAACTAGTTTTTGACTAAAATGGTGAGGTCATGTGTACTAGAGACATAAGCGGTCGAGTGTTGATCGACACCCTTGATTGATACCCTCAATCGATACCCTTGATCGACCCTCAATCGATACTTGATTGACACTCCATCAACACCTTGGTTGGCACTCGATTAACACTCCATCGACCTCTTGGTTGACAGTCGACTAATTTTCGATCAATTCATACGAGTTGGTCGACACTTGACCGACTGTTGATTGAGTGTCAACCAAGTATCAATAGCGATATTGATCAAACTGTGTATTGATCGAGATGTCGATCGAGGGTATTGATGGAGAGTATCGATCAACACTCGACTGTGGATGCCTTTAGTACACATGATCCAGATAGTGAAGGAATAAAAATTTCAATTGATTTATTCTCAAATTGTACTATTTTTGTGCTCTATCTTTTTCCCAGCAGCCAATAAGAATGGAACACTAAAACAAATTAACCAATCAGATCTCAAGGCTAGAACTCAAATTATTCAAAAATCACGCTATTTTGTGCCCTAAATTGCATCTTTTTCTGTTTTGCATACAAAATGAGATTTAAATGTGTTTCTGCATGGTTCTGCTTTTAACAAACCAGCTACTGGATCAATAAAATGTTGGTGCTGACTGAGGCTATTAAAAATTGATGTAAATAAAGTGGCAAATATTGAACTTTGTGTCATGTAATTTTAGTCTGATCGAAATCATACTTGTTATTTCACATTGAAATCACTCATATGATTTCAGACCAAATTTCACTTCACCCAATTACCATTATAAAACAATAATTTAATATGTTTATCTGTTTTAGTATGTACCAAATATCCACATCTACATGTATAGGCTCTACACTAGTGCCCAGTCTTTCTAGTAGAATTCCTTTGGGTCACACGATTCTTAAAAAATAACAAACTTCTTAGCTAGACCATCAGAGTATAAGCTTCACCCATACAAAAATAAATGGATCACTCATGAATTAATTTCAGCAATGTCAGTTTGCACTAAGTCGATTTTGTTTATCTGACTGATAATTTTGGCAACTATACTGTGATGTGAAATAATTGTCATACTGAGAGTGGATGTTCAACTTGATATAACTTTTTCTAAATCAAAGGCATGAAAATTTTATCAAAGATTTTTAAAGGCATTGTTCATTAAACATAATGAACAATGCAGGCACCAGACTGTGTGTTAGTTAAAACTGAAAGTTAGATTTTGTTCCCTTGGCAAAAGAGGGATGAAATCAAAATTTTCAAGGTCCCAACAGCTGCCATGAGATTCACCCAAGGAGTGAGTTGCAATTGGCAGGAATATTTTATCTGATAGTCACAAGGTTAAAAAGGTTCCAATCAGCATTGATAAGAAAATGGTATTTTGAATATATTTAAAAACGTTTAACTTAACCTACTGTCAGTGGCCTTTATCCTCGTTTGTATAGCTGAGAACATACAAATAAATCTCTGTGAAAAACCATTCAAATTTAAAGAGTTTTAATTTTTTCTATTTATTTTATTTTTTATTATTATTAATATTATTTTAATTGACAAACATTTCACAACATGTAATAAATATCTTAAAAGAGTCTTAATTCTGTACTTTTTTTATATACTAGTTAAACTCATTTTCTTGTGAAAACTTTTGCACAAAGACTCGGAACAGAGGAAAGAGTAACTTGAAATTGCATGATATAAACTACCATTATATAGTGTAAACATAATAAACTTACCTCTGACTCTTCAGTCTTTCCTTTTCTTATATCTTTGCTAATATCTTCAAATATATCTGTTTTCAGCAAAAAGGATGAACAACCAAACCAATTGATGTGATATGTAAGCCATAATATTTAAATTATAATTATCAATTATTTGTCAGACTGCATAATTTCAGTATTTCTACAAGTAGTATGTGCTTGAAAAATTCTATGGACATTCTTCCAAGCATTAGTTTCATGGGCAGCCATAGCTTGTAAAATTACAAAATTTCCTTAGACTATAGGTGGTACAAGGATCATAGTCCCTCAGTTAAAGTATTATATTAATACAGTTTATGTGCAAGATTTTACCAAAGTTCGATACATCCTTTGATACATCCTTAACAAGCAATTCAAATGGGGTTTCACAGGGAGGGACATTCCAGTTTACATCCAGCACCTCACTCCTCTGAATTGATGAGACCTTCTACAAGGGCTATGAAAGTCATTTCCAATCAAGGATACCGTATACCTTTAGTGCACTTTTAGAGGTACCTTGCATGCAAGCGATGCAGTGTGTCCAGTTTAAACTGTAGATACTAGACCTTAACCCCTATATTAAATTGAAGCTTATTAAGAGCTGGCTATCACACTATACCAAGAAGTTTGAAGTAAAATGAATTGTCAAATTTTTCGTGACCTTTAAATGTGAGCATCCGAATCTTCTATTGGGTCCCTTTTGAAAGCTACAAGTTAAAGGGAATTTGTTCATTTGCCCTCAAATTTGGACTGTAGCTACTTTGACATATCTAACAAAAACGTGTCTGCAAATTTTATTATTTCCAAATTTTTTTCTCAGAGAATGATTTTTCTATGATCACTCCATATCTTTTTAATCCTATTTCAAAAATGTTCTGTAACTTTTCACAGAAACTGAATATGGCAAATTGCAGACATGTTCTTTTTTTGGCACTTTGGGTCCAGAATGTGAGAGACATATTAAATAGACGAAAAACAAAATTCGCTTTGACTTGTAGCTT